TATTTTTTTAGTAGAGATGGGGTTTCACCATGTTGTTGAAGCTGGTCTCGAACTCCTGAGCTCGTGATCCACCCACTTCAGACTTCCAAAGTGCTGGGATTACAGGTGTGCGCCACCGCGCCTGGCCCTAAATTGCAGTTTCATCAACCCTAGGTAAATCATTTGATACTTGGGGCTGTTTCCTCAGTGGTTTTCAACTAGGGGCAATTTTCCTTCTCAGGAAATATTTGGCAATGCCTGGAGCTGTTTCTGGTTGCACAACTAGGGGAAACTATTGGCATTCAGCGTTAGAGGCCAGGGATGCTGCCACACATCCTACAACAACAAGGCAGTCTTCAAAAGCAAAGACTTGCCTGGCCCCAAATGGAATGATCTACTCAATACGCACCTAACAGGGTTGCAGTGAGGCTATACCATGCAAAGGGCAAGCCTCCAACAGGCATTAGTAAGTCTCCTCCTGCCTGTGAAGCATGATGCAGAGGGCCACGAGCCACGTGTCTGATTGAATTTGTGGATTTCAGTGCCAGAGCTTATCAGCAAATGGTAGGAATTTCGGATCCTTCACAAAACTAAAAAGTTTCTAAGAGGACCAATTCCGCATATCCATTTTTGTATCAGGAATGAAGATGATAAACGTGAAACAGCAAAAAAACCATTGCAGGGAAATAATGATTAACTTATGCTTGATGCCTTTGCCGAAATGGCATGTTGCACATCACAAGGAAACTAAGGAACATCATTTCCAAAATGCTTTTTTACTGAGCAAGAGGCAGTTAACAGAGAGCTTATAATATGCCAGGGACTGTGCTATGTGCTTTAAATTCTTAGTCCTTACAACAAGCCTCTGAGGTAGTCAAGAATCCACAAATGAGATGAGACAGTATTTTCATTTTACATGAGAAGGTAGACTCTGGGCTGGGCATAGTGGCTCACGCCTGTAATCCCAATACTCTGGGAGACCGACAGGGGAGGCTTGTTTGAGACCAGCCTGGGCAACACAAGGAGACCCTGTCTCTACAAAAAATTAAACAACAAACAACAAACTAGTCAAGCGTAGTGACTACTGTAGCCCAACTACTCGGGGGGCTGAGGTGGGAGTATCTGCTTGAGCCCCAGAGACTGAGGCTGCAGTGAGCTGTGATCGTGATGGCACCCCTGCACTCCAGCCTGGGTGACAGAGCAAGACCCTGTCACCAAAAAAAAAAAAAAAAAAAAGGTAGACTCAGATTAGCCTTTCTAATGAATGCTGTTTGGTAATTTGCTAAACCACCTCATTTGTGTAACCCACTGTCTGCAAAATGTAGCAGGCTCAGCTTTGCAAGGCCTAAGAGGAAATGAGGTCCATCAAAAAAAAGCAAACACGACTGGGAAGGGTTATAAAATGCAAAAGAAAAACAAGCTATAGCTTTAAACAATAAACAGCAAGCTCACAAATTTTAAGGAGAATAATTAATGGATGTATGTCATATTCAACTTTAAAATGAAAATGGGCTGGGTGCAATGGCTCAGGTCTGTAATCCCAACCCTTTGGGAGGCAGAGGCAGGCAGATGGCCTGAGCTCTGTTTGAGACCAGCCTAGGCAACATGACAAAAGCCCGTCTCTACAAAAAATACAAAAATTGGCCGGGTGCGGTGGCTCAGGCCTGTAATCCCAGTACTTTGGGAGGCTGAGGCGGGTGGATCAACTGTCAGGAGTTTGAGAGCAGCCTGACCAATATGGTGAAACCCCACCTCTACTAAAAATACAAAAATTAGCTAGGCGTGTGCCTGTAGTCCCAGCTACTCAGGAGGCTGAGACAGAATTACTTGAACCTGGGGAAGTGGAGGTTGCAGTGAGCTGAGATCACACACTCCAGCCTGGGCCACAGAGCAAGACTCTGTCTCAAAAAAAAAAAAAAGAAGTAGCCAAGTGTGGTGGAACATACCTGTGGTCCCAGATACTTGGGAGGCTAAGGTGGGAGGATTGCTTGAGCCTGGAAGATAAAGGTTGCAGTGAGCCAAGATTGCACCACTGCACTCCAACCTGGGTGACAGAGCAAGACCCTGTCTCAAAATAAATTAAAATGCCAGAAAAAGATTTACAACCCATGATTAAGGGCTAATCTGCTTAAGATATCAAGAGCACTTAAAAAGCATTTAGAAAAAGATAAATAATTCATTTGAAATAAGGGACAGAGTTGGTCACTTGTCATAGAAAAGAAATATAAATGACTAATGTCTAAGAGAAATAGAAAGGCCGGCACAATGGCTCAAGCCTGTAATCCCCACACTTTGGGAGGCCAAGGTAGGTGGATCACCTGAGGTCAGGAGTTGAAGACCAGCCTGACAAACAAGGTGAAACCCCATCTGTACTAAAAATACAAAAATTAGCCGGGTGTGGTGGTGGTCACCTGTAATCCCAGCCACTTGGGAAGCTGAGGCAGGAGAATCGCTTTAATCCGGGAGGGAGAGAATGCAGTGAGCTGAGATCATGCCACTGCACTTCACCCTGTATGAGAGAGCGAGACTACGTCTTGGAAAAAAAAAAAAGAAATGGATAAAGAAAATGTATGGGGCTGGGTGCCATGGATCACATCTGTAATCCCAGCACTTTGGGAGGCTGAAGTGAGAAGTTCCCTTGACCCCAGGAGAAACAATGCTGCAGTGAACTATGATGGCCCCACTGCACTCCAGCCTGGTTGACAGAGCAAGACCCTGTCTCAAAAAAAAAAAAGTGGTACAGACATACAATGGAATATCATGAAGTCTTAAAAAGGAAGGGAATCCTGTCACCTGCTACAACATGGATGACCCTTGAGGATATTTGGCTATGTAAAATAAGCCAGCCACAAAAAGAAAGTATTACTATTCCACTCATGAGGTTATAGCTAAAGTAGTCAAATCATAAAAGCAAAGTAGGAAGATGGTTGCTAAGGGCTGGGGAGAAGGGGCTATTAGTGTTTAATGAATATGGTTACAGTTCTACAAGAAGAAAACATCCTGTCCTAGAGAACAACATGTTACACAATGTGAATATACTTAACACTACTCAACTATACAATTAAAAACGTTGGTGGTAAATTTCATGTTGTGCTTTACCATTATAAAACAAAAATGAGAGAACATTATCATTTCAAGTAGAAAAGATCAATTTGGTAAACAGTGTTGGCAAGAGGGCAAAGAGGCATGTTGATAAAATGTTGCTGGAACTATACAATTAGTACAACGATTTTGGAGGGCAATAATGATCAAAGTGTTATTAATAAATGCAAATATCCTTTGAACCAGCAATCACTTTTAGGAATATTTCCTACATAAATCCACACAGATACTCAGTCTCATGTATAAGAATAACCAGTGTTAACACTATTTATAATAGCAAAATACTCAACCTAAACTTCTGCCCCTAAAATACTAATTTAAATAACTTAAACGGAGTACCATGCAGCCATTAAAAATGGGCTACTGTGTTCTGCTATGAAATGAGCTCTAAAAGTTGTAAAACATTGCACGATAAACTGCCCCGTTTGTGCCAGGAAAAAAAGGAGAGGAGGACGCATATAGTAGCACATACCTAGAAATTTGTCTGGAAGGAGACATAAGAAGCAGGTTCCAGGAAAAAGGGCTGAGATGAAATTTTTTTTTTAAGACAGTCTCGCTTCTTCACCCAGGCTGGAATGCAGTGGCGAGATCTCGGCTCACTGCAACCTCCGTCTCCCAGGTTCAAGTAATTCTCTGCCTCAGCCTCCTGAGTAGCTGGGATTACAGGTGCCCGTCACCTCAACCGGCTAATTTTTTTGTATTTTAGTAGAGATGGGGTTTCACCATCTGGGCCAGGCTGGTCTTGAACTCCTGACCTCGTGATCCACCCGCCCTGGCTTCCCAAAGTGTTGGGAGCATGAGCCACCATGCCTGGCCTTATTTTTGGAGACAGTTTTGCTCTTGTCACCCATTCCAGCCTAGGCTGGAGTGCAATGACACGATCTTGGCTCACTGCAACCTCCGCATCCCAGGTTCAAGCTGGGATTACAGGTGTGAGCCACCGCACCAGGCCTTAAATTTTTCATTGTGTACTATTATTTTTAACAAGTATATTTGAAAATGGAAGCATGAAAGTGGGAATACCAATTCACTTCTTTTCAAATACTCTTAGATAAGTGGTTTTCAACTCTGGCTGCTCATTAGAATCACCTGGGAGCTTTAAAATATCCTAATGCTCAGGCCTCACCAGAGAGCACCAAGGTCTGACTCAACAGGTCTAAGGATGGGCCCCTGCATATCCATGTTTTTAGTCCCCCAGATGACTCTAATTTTCAGATTATGTCTTAGGAATCACTGATTTGGACCAGGGATTGGCACAAACCTTTTCTGTAAAGGGCCACATCCTAAATGTCTTAGGCTTTGTGGGCCATTGATAAGATCTCTGTCTTTTTTTTTTTTTTGCCCAGGCTGGAGTGCAGTGACACAATCTCGGCTCACCACAACCTCCACCTCCTGGGTTCAAGTGATTCTTCTGCCTCAGCCTCCCAAGTAGCTGGGATTACAGGCATGCACCACCATGCCAGGCTAATTTAGTATTTTTAGTAGAGATGGGGTTTCTCCATGTTGGTCAGGCTGGTCTGGAACTCCTGACCTCAGGTGATCCACCTACCTCAGCCTCCCAAAGTGCTGGGATTACAGGTATGAGCCACCACACCGGCTATTATCTATCTTTTTAAAAAACCTTTACAAATGTAATAACCTTCCTTAGCTCTTAGGTAATATAAAAACAAGCCATGGGCTAGATTTGACCCATAGGCCATTTTGCCAACCCCCAATTTGGACAATGCACAGGCTGCAGTACAGCCTGGAAAAGGCACCATGAGACAAGCTGTGGCCAAGAAAACCCTGCAAGCTGCTGCCAAAAAGCCTCTGCAGTGAAGTCACAGGTCCAGACCCCAGTCCTCTAACTGGCACCAAAGTTGTTCTGTTTTGAGTAGGAAGAAGAAGGGGTTCAGACTCACAATAATAAACTCCCAAGACACATTATAAACCAGCCAGTTTATTATTTTATAGTAAGATGTAGAATTTTTACCATGCAGACTGAAATATCGGTGTCAGCATGAACAGTACATTTTCTTCTAGAGGCAGTTACATGGAAAACCAGGTTATTATCAGGTTATTTAGCGAGTGTGGAATCCAAACAAGAGGAGACTAACCTTAAGACCTACAAATCATCCATGAAGGCTTGGGGCACACTTTCCTACCACCCAAACACTTTAGCCTCCACAAAGCTGTGGACTCTTCCCTCTCCGTCTTGTTCTGGCTGAGTACCACCACTGATCAGTCGCTTCCTGCAGCCATACCCACAGGCCAACTTGGCCTAAGAGCTGTATTTCCGGTCACTGGTTTGTGTTGTTATTGCCACTATTACTAACAGTTAAGGTTCTGAAGGGGGCACATCAATTGCTCCCACGTACCAACTACGAGACCCATGTACCAACTAAGTAAGAGACACAATAATCCTGTTAGTTTGTTCTCCCAAACCCACTCCACTCAAGTTTATCAGGTAATATGCTCTGTCAGGTTCGCGAACTCGACTCACTGCAACCTCCACCTCCCGGGTTTCAAGCAATGCTCCTGCCTCAGCTTCCCGAGTAGCTGGGACTACAGGCGTGCGCCACCACGCCCAGCTAATTTTTTTGTATTTTTAGTAGAGACGAGGTTTCACCATATTGACCAGGATGTTCTCCATCTCTTGACCTCGTGATCTGCCCGCCTCGTCTGTAAGGTTCTTTCAACCCGATTAGCACATACAGAGAATACCAATAAATTCATCTAATATAACCTACCTTCCTCCTGAGGATTGAGTTTTTCTTTTCCCCACTTTCTTGATTCTCAACCATGTAGGAATTAATGAAACCAATTCTATGTCACCACTGCAACCAAGACAGCAATGCCAAGTGATATGTATTTTTCAAATTAATGTCATTTTGTTCTCTATACTGTGAAATATGATGCAGTCCTCAACTTAGTACTCAATACTAGGAAGGGTCAAGTTGTCAAAAAATGTGTATCAACAGTAGAAAAATTTGCGTTCAAATTAAAAAAACAAAGCATGTATTACAAACATCATGTAATGATAAAATTACAGAAAAAAAAATATTCAGAATGACCCACGGCATTCATACCACACCAGAAGTTTGCCTGTAACAAAACAGTAAATTTTATCCCAAAAAGTAGGTTAGGTCCATGCTGGCTAAAAACCTCAGTCCCAGACTCAATAAATGAGAATGAAATACACAGTGCATGCTTAATATGACATTGCATATACATCAGCCATTCTTTAATACCCCTCGCTAGGGTTTTGAGGGAAAGATGGATGAAATGTGAACATGTGCACTCACAAAGGCAGAATTTTCTTCCAATTATAAAAAGTCATACCTGTGACCCTTTACTATGTCTTGGGCATAGCTAAGTTTTTGTCTGTAGGAATCCACCTTTGAAAATCACAACAAAAATCAATAGAAAATGATTTAATATAAAATATACAAATTTCTAGAATGAGGACTTTCACAGAAAAGGAAGGAGACAATGAAAACGAATTTTCTGCAAAAATAACATTCCCTTATTTTGTCCCTGCTACTTAACACTCAAAACCAAGTCTGTACAAAACTAGGTAACACAGAAAAGGACCAGAAAGGATGTTACATTGTAAAGTCTTAGGACCTACCCTAAACTTCTGTCCTCATCAAGACCCTCACCTGGAGAGCTGAGGGTTCCCAAGTCCACTAGAGAAAGTGAGTGGTCTCTGACCATCACCTTTGCTTCGCCAAAGATGGCCCCAGGTCACTCACTGTCAAACTTCACGGAATTGACCTGAACAGAGATGGAGCCTCCCCGGTAGCTGCCCCGCTTCTTCTTGGTTTTCTCATGCCGGAAGGACTTGCCTTTGGTGAACTTCAAAACCTGATTGGCTCGCTCTCCCCAGTCTCCAGCTGCACCTCGCTAGTTAAGTAGAGAGAGGAGGTTAACACAGAAGGACCATGCCAGGGCCTTGTCACTTCTTTTCTTTCTACTCCCTACTCAAGGTAACCTGAACCCAGAGAGGATTGCCACCAACCGGAATCAAGAGCTGTGCTCTCTGACACTACCACCCTCCCTCCCAAGAATGGCACAGATCTCTCTCTCACCTTGGCATCAAAGGAGTTGTCTGCCACTCGTGAATCCACCTCAATTTCCTCCTCCCTGACCCTTCGGAATGGGGATGATGCCCTTTTTTCTCCCTACAGAAGAATGAAGTAGGAAATTAAAGACAGAGTGATCATGTAACAGCTCTCCTGAGTGATACGCATGTGTACATGTGCCAGGTCACGCCAGGCAGAGCTGTCAAGATGATCCTAGATTATTCTACTTTTTTTGAGACGGAGTTTCGCTCTTGTTACCCAGGCTGGAGTGCAATGGCACGATCTCGGCTCACTGCAACCTCCGCCTCCTGGGTTCAAGGCAATTCTCCTGCCTCAGCCTCCTGAGAAGCTGGAACTACAGGCACGCGCCACCATGCCCAGCTAATTTTTTGTGTTTTTTAGTAGAGACGGGGTTTCACCTTGTTGACCAGGATGGTCTCGATCTCTTGACCTGGTGATCCACCCACCTTGGCCTCCCAAAGTGCTGGGATTACAGGCGTGAGCCACTGCGCCCGGCCGATTATTCTACTTTTAAAAACCTGGCTCCTAAGAGAAAAGTGAGACAACTTACTTTCTTCCTTTTTGGAAATGTGTTAGGGGTCTGAAGCTTTATCTTCTTAGCCTGAGGAGTCTCTGCCTCCTTGGCAGCCTCATTCTGCTTCCGCTTCTTTAATGAACCTAAAAACAAAAAGCCAAACTCAGGCCATGGGGCAGTGGCTCACAACTGGAACTCCAGCATTTTGTGACACCAAGGTAGGAGGATCGCTTGACCCCAGGAAACCAAGATCAACCTAGGCAACAGAGTTAGACTCTGTCTCTACAAAATGTAAAAGAATCAGCCAGGCATGGTGGTGCATGCTTGTAGTCCCAGCTACTGAGGAGGCTGAGGTGGAAAGATCACATGAGCCCAGGAGGTTGGGGCTGCACAAACTGTGATCATGCCATTGTACCCCAGCCTGGGTGACAAAGTGAGACTCCATCTCAAAAAAAAAAGAAAAGGGAGAGATCAGTTTCCTGTTCGTCCTCCCAGGTTTCCCCAACTGGAAGCCCAGTGGTGGGCCTCCTCTCACTACCCTACCCTCAAAGAGTATATCCCATCCTGATTTGAGGGGACAAAACCCAAAGGGCATGTTCATTGGGTACAAACCTGGTTTGGAAACTGCCACTGCTGCCTTTTTCTTTTCTTCCTCCTCCTCACTGTTCTTAGCTGCTTTTCCATTCTGGGCAGTCAGTGCAGAGGTGCTGCTGGCCTTGAGGGCTTGTGGTCTTGGAGTGCCCTTGCCCTTGCCTTTGGGCTTCTCTTCTTCCTCCTCACTGGAGTCATCAGAGGAAGAACTGCTGCTGCTCTCAGGCTTTCCTTTCTTTGCAGAGGCTGGCTTGGAAGGGGCTGCACCTCCTGCTACTTCCTGTGGCTTCTTCTTAACTGCGGTCTTGGACGTCTTCTCTTCCTCCTCCTCCTCACTGCTGGAGCTGTCTGAATCAGAGCTGCTGTCCCTACTACCCTGAGGAGCCTGCTTGGCAGGCAGAGGTGGAGCTGCTTTGGCAGTCGCCTTGGGCTTAGTGGTGGCCACTGTCTTCTTTGTCTTCTCCTCCTCACTGGAACTGCTCTCTTCCTCACTGGAGCTGCTGTCAGCCTTTCGCATGAGAGGCTTCTGGCCACCACCCAAAGATTGCTTAGGGGCTGCAGCTGGCTTTGCTGCAGGTGACTTGGTGGTGCCAGCTGGCTTATGTGAGGAATTCTTGGTGGTACCAGCTGGCTTGGAAGGATCTTCATCTTCCTCAGAGCTGTCAGAGTCTAGACACAGAAGGGATGGAATCAACAGCTCCCCAAATCAGATTCAGGGAAGCCCTTAGCAGCTGCCTAAGAGCATCTCACTGAACTGAGGGCCTCCATATGCTTTACCTGAGCTGTCTGAAGAGCTCTCTGCTGCTTTCTTTGCTGGAGGTGGTTTAGTGGTTGCTTTAGACACGACTGCCTTAGCTGGGGATTTCTTCTCTTCTTCGGAACTTGAATCTAAGAATAACCTGTAGCATTATGCTGGGTCCAGGGTCCCAACCCAACCAGGATAGCAATAAAAAGAATGTGAAGACACACACAGAGCCTTAACTCTATCTTGCTTTAAGCAAAAAGCAATGGAGGGATGGAAGCCTTTCTCTCTCCCTTATTCCCCGTTCCCTCCTCCAGATCCACGCTGAGGGGAGGCTGCATCCCTCTGACTTACCAGACTCATCGCTGCTGTCTTCACTGCTTTCCACAGGCTGCTGCTTCTCCACAGCCTTCTTGGGAGGCTGGGTTCCCAGGGTCTTTTTTGGTGGGGGAGCTGAAGGTGGGGGTACTGAACTATACGGACCTGTGTAAAAGGGACGATGTGACGGTTTTAAGATATGTATACAAATTTTTTGATACTACTTCCTTCTAGAAATGAAGCTTAATTTGCCTTCACTTGAGTATGGGCCGGAATTAGTGACTCAGTTCTAACAGAACACGGTGTCGCTTCTGAGTTTAGGTTATACAAGGCACTGCCAATTCCTCCTTGCTTTTCCAGATCACCAGCTCTAGGAGAAGCTAGCTGTCATCTCACGGGGATGCTCAAGTAGCTCTATGGAGAGGTCCAGGTAGTTACTGCAACTGGGCCCTGCCCACAGTCATACGGCTTCTCTCCCCATGTCAGGTCACCTGGTTTATTTTTCATGGGTTTTTTCTGCTGTTCTTCCTCCTCACTGGAAGAATCCTCACTGCTGGAACTCTTCTGGGTAGGGGTGGCAGCTGCTTTCACTGGGGCCTTGGCCACAACTTGCTTTTTAGGTACAGTCTGCATTAGAAAGAAAATTGATTACCACAGGAAAATGCTGAGCCAACCAATCCTGCCAGTGAATGGAGACACACACACATCCCACCCTGGTCACCTCTTCCCCGACAGAAGTTATGGCCCAGACCTTCTTGGGGGTGGCTGCTGCCTTCTCCTCCTCTGAGTCATCACTGCTGCTGCTACTACTACCGGCTGCTTTACCATTGACTACTTTAGGTGCTGCTCGAGCTGGAATACCCAAGAAAAAGAAAGAGTAAGGAGTTTCAGGACAAGTTAGGATCATGAAAAACCTCCCTCCTATAAGCACAGAACTTAGGAGTCCACCAATTTTTTTTTTTTAAAGAGTCTAGCTCTGTCCCACAGCTGGTGTGCAATGGTTCAAGTCATTCTCCTGCCTAGGCCTCTCAAGTAGCTGGGATTACAGGCACCCACCATTATGCCCGCCTTATTTTTGTATTTTTACCAGAGACAGGGTTTCACCATGTTGGTCAGGCTGGTTGGCCAGGCTGGTCTTGAACTCCTGACTTCAAGCGATCTACCCACCTCGGCCTCCCAGAATGCTGGGATAACAGGGGTGAGCCACCGCACCTGGCTAGGAGTTCACCAATTCTTTTAACTTTAGAGCAGCCATCAGGGAGCATGCCATGGTTTACCACATCAAAGGATGCCTTTCCTATCCTACGTCAGGAATAAAACTGTCTTAAAAAAAAAAAAAAGCTCAGGCGGGTCCAATGGTAGTGGGTTATCAGAACTTATTAACATCAGTGTCACTAAAGTTGGTATAAAACCCCCCACTGCTAAATTTGACTGGATTTTAAAAAAAATTAAAAAGAGCACATAAATAAGTATGCCCTCTAAAATCTTTCACTTCAACCTCCATTCAGAGAAATCAAAACCTAACCCTCATCACAAGTTACAGAAAAAAGAAAAATTCTCATTTGTCTCACAGAATGAACGTAGAGGAGCAAAAATGGCAGTGAAAAGCACAACAAATAGATACATAAGTGGTCACAGTGGAATGGGATGTGTGAGTACATAAAATGTTTATGAAATGTCACAAAATGCCAAATGGATATCATTTTAAAAAAATACATTTTCCCTTGCTGCAGTAACTGTTTCTCTATTTACTAGCTCCTATGAAATCTTATTATTAGTGAAAGAGCTTTATAATAAAAAGACTTAATCAATGCCTCCAGTTCAACAAACAGTACCATTTCACCCGTGACAAATCAGCAATTTTAACACCAGCCCCCAGAGAAATCTAGTCCCCAGCCCAGCCTCTTGGGAACGGAAACAGTACCTGGTTTAGGTGGGGCTTTAGCCTGAGGTTTAGCTGCTAGAGGTGTTATCTTTAGCTTCTGGTTCTTTGGTGGCTCATCCTCGGAGCTTGAGTCAGAGTCAGAATCAGAATCAGAGCTCTTGGCCTTCTTAGGTGGAGCTTTGGCTGTCTTGGCTTGGGGCTTAACTCCCTTCTGTTAGGAAAAACACAAGGAGGGGAATCAGCAAAAGCTTCTGGTACCCAAAGGGCATCCTAGGTTCCTTTTATTTTTAGGGGCCTAATGGAGCAGTAAGAATAAGAGTAAACTAAGGACAGGATATGGAAAGGGCAAAAACTCTTAAGAAACAACAACAACAAAAATAAACAATGAAAAGTTGGCTGGGTGCTATGGCTCGCCTGTAATTCCAGCACCTTGGTAGGCCGAGGTCAGGAGTTCGAGGCCAACCTGACCAAAGTGGCAAAACCCCATCTCTACTAAAAATACAAAAATGAGCCGGGTTTGGTGGTGGGCACCTGTCATCCCAGCTACTTGAAAGGCTGAAACATGAGAATAGCTTGAATGAACCCGGGAGGCAGAGGTTGCAGTTAGCTGAGATCACGCTATTGCACTCCAGTAAAACTGTGTCTCAAAAAAAAAAAAAAGTTCATTGATATATTGGCCCTGTTCCTGCCAAAGTTTCCAAGAAAACACACTAAGTTCTTTGGTGGCTCATCCAGGGATCTTATTCTTGGATCCCTGAATAGTGTCCCAGAGGAACCCAAACTCCTCAAGCAGAATGGGTTTAATTTTTCCTCTGGATTCCAAGTCCGACTTCACACATCTCTTCCAGATCTCATACTTTTATCAGCTTCCTGAAAATCCCCAGATTTTCTTCCTCATAATCACCTTCTGTACTACCACCATCAACCTTTGGTTATAAGCTAGAGGCCACAATTTTAGGTTTCTTCCTTTCCAATTCTTAAATCCCTTTTTCTTCCCAAAGCTGCAAACCTGGATAGGCTGTTTCTTTTGGTCCTCCTCCTCCTCCTCATCACTGGATTCTTCACTGCTGCTGCTCTCCGATGCTTTGGCTGCAGCCTTTCCAGGAGGCAGACCAACTCGCTTGGCAGATACAGCTGAACAAAAGCACAGGTCCCAGTATTAGCTATATAGGACAAGCAGGCTGTAAATTCTTTTCCTGACACCATCAAGCCCACTGGCTACTCTGCCTTACCAGCCTTCTTTGCTGGAGGCCCTAGAACTTCCTCCTCCTCCTCGCTGCTGTCCTCACTACTGTCGCTGGATGAGGCCTTCTTCTTAGCTTTCTTAGTAACTGGTCCATTTGCCTGCAACTTTCGCTCTGGCGCCTTGGCAGACCTGCTGAGGTAGATTAGACCAATTTCTAGGAGATTGGAATCTTCCCAAACCAAGAAACACAGCCCAACCGACCTTGGGGGAGAAAACAGCCAAAGTGGAACAGGAAAGGCTTACTTGAGCCAGAAGCTATAGATGTCTAAGAGGGAAGAGGCATTGGCATCCTGCTGTGTCTGTAGAAGAACAAAAAGAGCTAGGTAAGGAAATTATTTTATCCTAGTTATGCTTTCATTAAATGTGGCTTGTTATATACATACCTACTAAATTTGGAATAAATGTTACATCCTGATAAGACTTTTGCTGCTTGCATAAACTAAGAGAAAAATATTCTATTTGTGCATTTCCCAATTTCTGACATAAAAAACTTCGGCTATTCCTATGCTTATGGCACCATCTAACCCCCTGCCTGCCAATCTATATTTATCAAAGTCCTAAAAAAAAAATCGACCAGGTACAGCAGCCCAAGCCTGGAATCCCAGCACTTTGGAAGGCCAAGGTGGGTGGATCATGAGGTCAGGAGTTCGAGACCAGCCTGAAACAACATGGTGAAACCCCATCTCTACTAAAAATAAAAAAATTAGCCTGGCATGGTGGCGCGCATCTGTAATCCCAGCTACTCGGGAGGCTGAGGCAGGAAAATTGCTTGAACCCAGGAGGTGGAAGCTGCAGTGAGCCAAGACTGCACTCCAGCCTGGGGAACAACAACGACAATGCCTTTTTTTTTTAAATTTTTTTATTTCTTTTCTCTTCATTATCGATACAAAGCGACTCCATCTTAAAAAAAAATCACTTTTGACTGGGCATACTGGCTCATGCCTGTTATCCCAGCACTTTGGGAAGCTGAGGCAGGAGGATCACTTGACGCCAGGAGTTCAAGACCAACCTGAGCAACATAGCAAGACCCCCATCTCTAGCCCCCTGCCAAAATAAAAGGTTCACTCTATCAATATACTATCTAAGAATGTAATCTTATCCATTACATGAGAATACAAACACTAATACAAAAATATGTTTGCTGCAATGTGGATTATAATAACAAATCATTAGAAACAAGCCTCCAGCCTGGCCGGGCACGATGGCTCACGCCTATAATCCTAGCACTTTGGGAGGCCGAGGTGGGTGGATCATGAGGTCAAGAGATCAGACCATCTTGGTCAACATGGTGAAACCCCGTCTCTACTAAAAATACAAAAATTAGCTGGGCATGGTGGTGCACGCCTGTAGTCCCAGCTACTTGGGAGGCTGAGGCAGGAGAATTGCTTGAACCCAGGAGGCGGAGGTTGCGGTGAGCCGAGATCGCGCCATTGCACTCCAGCCTGGGTAACAAGAGCAAAACTCCGTCTCAAAAAAAAAAAAAAGAAAAGAAAAGAAACAAGCCTCTAGGCTGGGTGCCATGGCTCACACCTGTAATCTCAACACTGTGGGAAGCCAAAGCAGGTGGATCACCTGATGTCAGGAGTTCAAAACCAGCCTGGCCAATATGGTTAAACCCCATCTCTACTAAAAACACAAAAATTGGCTGGGTGTGGTAGCAGGAGCCTGTAATCCCAGCTACTTAGGAGACTGAGACAGAAGAATCACCTGAATCTGGGAGGCTGAGGTTGTAGTGAGCCCAAATTGTGCCACTGCACTCCAGTCTGGGCAACAGAGCAAGACTGTCTCAAAAAAAAGAAAAGAAAAGAAAAAAAGGAAGAAAGAAACAAACCTCCAAGAGAAGGCTGGTAAGTACTGTACTGAATGTAAAAAATTGCATTCGGGGTCTTGGCACAGTGGCTAATGCCTGTAATCTCAGCAGATCACGAGGTCAGGAGTTCAAGACCAGCCTGGCCAACATGATGAAACCCCGTCTCTACTAAAAATACAAAAAATTAGCTGGGCGTGGTGGCATGCGCCTGTCATTCCAGCTACTAGGGAGGCTAAGGCAGGATAATCGCTGAACCCAGGAGGCAGAGGTTGCAGTGGGTGGAGATCGCACCACAGCACTCCAGCCTGGGTGACAGAGCAAGATTCCATCTCAGAAAAAAAAAAAACTGCATCCAGGCCAGGCGCAGTAGTTCACACCTATAATCCTAACACTTTGGCAGACGGATCACTTAAGGACAGGAGTGCCTGGGCGAGACAGGAAGACCCCCAACTCTCTCTCTCTCTTTTTTTTTTTTTCAGATGGAGTTTGACTCTTGTCACCCAGGATAGAGTGCAATGAGGCTCAATGCAACCTCCACCTCCCAGGTTCAAGTGATTCTCCTGCCACAGCCTCCCGTGTAGCTGGGATAACAGGTGCCTGCCACTACGCCTGGCTAATTTTTTGTATTTTCAATAGGGACAGCATTTCACCATGTTGGCCAGGCTGGTCTCAAACTCCTGACCTCAGGTGATCCACCCACCTCAGCCTCCCACAGTGCTGGGATTACAGGTGTGAGTTACTGCACCCAGCTGAGACCCCCCATCTCTTAAAAAATATATATATTTTAAAATTTTAATTAGTTGGGTGTGGTAGCACACACCTGTAGTCCCAGCTACTTGGGGGGCTTAGATGGGAGGACTGCTTGAGCTGAGGAGTTTGAGGCTGCACTGAGCTGTGATCACATCACTGCACTCCAGCCTGGGCAACAGAGAGAGACCCTGTCTCAAGAACAATGACAGCAAAAAAAAAAAAAGAATTTCATTCAATTATTAATTACACTGATACAGAACATTAACTGATGCAAAAAACTCCAAGACATTCCAGCTACTCAGGAGGCTGAGGCACAGAATCGCTTGAACCTGGGAGACGAAGGTTGCAGTGAGCCAAGATTGCGCCACTGCACTCCCATTTGGGCAACAGAGTGAGACTCTGTGGTACAAAAGAGTTCAGGATCAGTCAGTATACATGTGAACTTATCTTAGGACAAATTACCTAATCTCCCTGAGATTATTTTCTTCTCTATAAAATGGAGATAATACTACACATCTCATTTAAGTTATTGAGAGGATAAGAGAAGGCATGCTGGCCGGGTATGGTGGTTCATGCCTGTAATCCCAGCAGTTGGGAGGCTGAGGCAGGTGGATTTCTTGAAGTCAGGAGTTCAAGACCAGCCTGGCCAACATGGCAAAACCCCGTCTCTACTAAAAATACAAAAAAGATTAGCCACACATGGTGGCAAGCACCTGTAGTTCCAGCTACTTGGGAAGCTGAGGCAGGAGAATGTCTTGCACCCAGGAGGCAGAGGCTGCAGTGAGCAACCTGAGTGACAGAGCCAGACTCCGTCTCAAAAAGAAAAAATGCATGTAAAGGGCTAAGTATCTGAACCTTTGTAAACTCTTCACAAAAGATTAGTTTTTCTCACATAAAACCATTCAGAATCCTAATTCTTAAATGTCCAATTCCATCCAGTCCACTGTGAAAGCACTCTTTGCAGTCACTTAACAGTCAACTCTAAACAGTTCCAATACGAAAGCAGTTACATCACATGACAGCCTGTCCCAGCTTAAGAAAGTTCTTTCTGAGGCTGATCTGATTCTTTGCTTTTGCAGCCTGATCTGCTAAAAGTGCAAGCCATCCTTCTTAGTCCTGCTATCATCCTTGCAAAGGACCCCCTCTCTTTTCTCTCAAGGTGTCTTCCATGCAGGGATATCCGTTGATGGAGATTAAATATCTTTCACATTCCTGGTTGGCGCATCCTAAATTGCCGTAACTATGGTACAACTTTCACTTTTAGAAGATTCCTCGGCACAAGCACTGAGATTGCTACTCTTACACATAATCTTACTGAAACTCACCAAAATCTTATGAAGTGGATGATGACATCCCTGTAGAAAGACTCAGAAAGGTTAAGTAAGCTGCCCGGGTCACATATCTAAAAAGTAACAGAGCCTGGTCCCAAACTTAGGTTGGATTCTATTAGCCAAAGCTCCAAGCCCACTACCATGCCTGCTTGGTAGGGCTGTATATGACGCTCAATTCTCATCAGTGTAACTCAAAACAAAACTCTGCTCCTACTTTCATTCATTTTCTTCTTTACTAACGAAAATCCCAATCTTTATTCTAAAGCAATTTCACTTGCTTTTGAATCCCAGTAAATGCGATTGAGGGTAAGGTCAAATCGCGCTTTACCTCAGCCAACGAAAAGCCCCCCAGAAGAACCAGACGCCTAAGAACCAACGTCCTCAGTGGGACAAGGCGCTAGCTCCCAGCTGCACTATGCTAGCCATGTGACTTCGGGCCACGAGGCTCCCACGTTGCCGCTGTTGTATGGCTCACAAGAAACAAGCAACAAGACTCTGCGCTATCTAGTAAGACCTGGTGGAAGACGAGCGACCGAGGCCCCCAGGCTTTCTCTGGTCACTGCTGAGCGGTCGGCGCAAAGGCCTTGCAGACACTGGACTGGCGGACCCCACAGTCTTCCCCACCTGGAAACCCAAGCACGTCAGGGCCTAAAGCCTTGTGGTCATGACCCAGCCCGCTTCCCGTCCCAAGCCCGGGACTCACAGCTCCCGTCGCTTTGGCGAACTTATTGGCCACCTCCGAGAGTTGGTTATCGCGCAGGAAGCCGAGGACGAGGGGATACAGGTCGCTGGGAACCACGCGGCGCAAGCCGGCGTCCGCCATGCTCCGGGCAAAACGCGTCACTACCGTTGTCGACGCAGCACGACTCAGGAACCCAACAGGGGCAGTGGGAGGGCCTGATTACGTCATTGCGCCGCGCGGTCGCATAGCGGAAAGGGTGGGGCTCCACAGGGCAGTCCCACCTCCGCTTCAGAGGTAGGGTAGACGGGAAATCTAAAAGCTCTTTCCGGTCCCACGCGTATCGCCATCTTGGTCAAGGGCGGAGCCCACCAGCCGCCGGTTTGTAGAGGCGGGGCTCTGACGTCAGAGGTCACGCCCTCGGCGTGGCGGGAAAACTTGGGACTTCCCGCGCTGTCTTTCTGGGGGAGGTACCTTTTCTCAGAGCAGCGGTTTCCCGCGCCCCTGCCAGGATTCGGATTCCAGAGTAATGAGTGGACAAGCGGGCTCTAACAGTCCTTACCCTCTCCAGACTTGGTCACAAGATCTCCCAACCGCCCCAACTGGCGCATTAGCGCTGCCGATGGATTCTCGCCCTTCATCTTCACTGCCTCCAACACTCAGGGAGGCCCTTTCCTCTCTGATACCATCCCAGCCTCCAGACTCGTCTCTACGCAGAAGAGCATCCTTCAAGTTATCCGTCGTGGGGGTGGAAGGTACTGATTTCCCAAGCCGCCCCTCCCACTCCCTTTATATTCCGCCTGTCAGCTCCACGAAGGGGAAAGATGTCATACACCAAACCTGAATCACACACCTCTTCAAGCTGAAGAGACTTGAAAATAACCCTTCTTCCTCCGATATCAGAGTTCAAACTCTCCCTTTGTCATGAGTAACTCCAATATCAGTGCTCAGACCTACCAAGTGAATTCCAAGTTCTGCAATACTTCAGATCATATTAGCAGTTAGCAATCCTTTCAATCCTACCCACTACCCCTTGGCTACCTCCCACTAATGCAGTTCAGGAAGGATAAGGATCCACTTCCTCATGGAACACTCCCCTCTCCTATATAAAACTGGCCAGGCACAGTGGTTCACACGTTATTCCAACACTTTGGAAGGCCGAGGTGGGAGAATCCCTTAAGCCTAGGAGTTAGAGGCCAGCGTGGACAACGTAGTTAAGACACACACACACACACACACACACACCACCCTGTATCTCTACAAAAAAATTTTAAATTAGCCAGGTGTAGTGGCATGCACCTGTGGTCTCAGCAAGTTGGAAGGCTGGGGCAGGAGCATCTACTGAACCAGGGAGATGGAAGCTGCAATGAGTTATGATCCTGCCACTGCAATCCAGCCGGGACCGCAGAGTGAGATACTCTCAAAAATCAAAACGCTGGGCACAGTGGTTCACACCTGTAATCTCAGCACTTCGGGAGGCCAAGGTGGGTGGATCAACTATGGTCATGAGTTTGAGTACAGTCCTGGCCAAGAGTGAAACCTTGCACCTACTAAAAATACAAAAAAAAATTAGCCAGGTATGGTGGCAGGTGCCTGTAATCCCAGCTACTTGGGAAGCTGAGGCAGGAGAATTGCTTGAACCCAGAAGGCAGAGACTGCAGTGAGCCGATACACCACTGCACTCCAGCCTAGGAGACAGAACAAGACTCCATCTCAACAACAAAAATCCAAAAAGCAAACTCCACAATTCCCTTTTTCATGCTTCCGGTTCTACGCATATGCATGCATTATTTAAAACATTTGTTTTTGTTTTGAGATGAGAGTTTCGCTCCTATTACCCAGGCTGGAGTGCCATGGCACGATCTCGGCTCACCGCAACCTCCGCCTCCTGGGTTCAGGCAATTCTCCTGCCTCAGCCTCCTGAGTCCTGGTACTACAGGCACACACCACCATGCCCAGCTAATTTTTTGTATTTTTAGTAGAGACGGGGTTTCACCTTGTTGACCAGGATGGTCTCAATCTCTTGATCTCGTGATCCACCTGCCTCGGCCTCCCAAAGTGCTGGGATTATAGGCGTAAGCCACCACGCCCAGCCTATTTAAAACATTTGAGCAGCTACTGTGCCATGCAGTGTGCTCAAGCTATTAGAAAATGATGAATGTAACTGACATGATTAATGTACACACCAGTCCCAATTTAGAAAACCTTTCTTTGGAACAAGTGTGAGTTTCTCTAGGTCCTTGTTATGAAAATCCCTTCCTGGACCAGTATCATCATCCCATTGTCAGAATCTACATTCTAGAAAGATCTCTAGATGATTCAAATTCCCTTTAAAGTTTGAGAAGCATTGTCCTAGATGACTCATTTTAGACAATACATCAGAAGAACCAAGTTTCAAATCCAGTGGGATTTTTGCACCTAACCAGAGAGTCATGTCCCTGGACCATGTTCAGATAGGAAAAGTGAATATATTTCGCATTAGCACCATACCATATAAAGAAGCACAACAGCAGGTGGGAGTTTTCTCTAGTTGATGTTTATTAGTCTGCATAGTGGCAAGTTCCAAACACTTGGGAACCCCTCAACCCCCACCTATCTTACATAGGAATCCAAGTTAACTTGTTTCAATACCTGTTTATAAAAAACAAATACCCCTTTTAAAAAATCTGATTTAACACATTTTTTATTTCACTTTTTTCCATTTCTTTATAAAACAGTCATCTCACTAGCAGCTCTCTCCCCTAGAGTAGGGGAATGGGGTAGTGGAGGTTGGGCACCTCCAGAGGGAAAAAAAGGGTAAGGGTAGCGGGGGAGGGCCCAAGGTTACCTCCGGAGGTTCTTCTGGGCCTGTTTCAACAATGTGTCAAAGTCAAGAGAATCAAATTTGCTCTTTACAGGTGCAGGGTCAAAGTCTTCCCGGTTGGAGTCTATAAAGGTAAAGACAAACTTCAAGGTCTCTGACCATATTTCCTAACCACAGGGTCCACAAATGGCTACCTCCCATCCCAATAATGGATGGAGTGAAAAATTGCTCTGATTTTAAGTCAAAGAGATAGGAGAGTCCCCATTTCTCCTCTCATCCTACCCCTTGGGTTCTTCATATGTCAAACTAAGTCAGTCTGCCTAGCCCAACTCACAAAGGGTTAGGAAACCTTCTGGGGAGGGGATGAAGTATTCCAAAGCTTAGGCCCTCCCTCCACTCACCAAGATCAGAATAGCTCCTCTTGCAGAACTGCCTTCGGCCCCCAAAGCAGAGATCAAAGGGCTGCTCATCTGCCTGCCGCAGCTTGTGGCCACTCTCGATGGCTGCAAATGCCTCCTCAGCATAGCGGTAAGTGACGAAGCCATAGTTGTCCCTGGTAGGAGGGTGAGGCAGGGGCTGGACTGGCTATATGGATCCATGGCATGGAGGAGACACAGCACCCCAGGGGTCCAGGGGTGGTTCTTCTCATTCCCAGTGGCCAACCCTCTGAAGAAATGAAGGTGCCCCATATTGCTCAGCACAGAACAAGGAGGCAAGACAAAGAAACATCAAGGTAGATGAATGGGATAGAATATCCTGACCTTGGGGCCCAAGCTTACCCTTGGACACGGAAGTGGATGGTGCATTCCTCAATCTCTCCAAAAACGGAGAACCTCTGTTTTAGCTCTGATCGAGTCATGCGACCAGGTATCTTTCCAATGAAGACCACCCTTCTTTCTTCCTAAGTTTGGAAATGAAAAAAATCAACACACCATGAGCCAGGGCTACAGCTGCAGGCAGCTATCTGAGCTCAAGGCTCAGGGGGTAAGCCCCCTCCTCCCATGACCTGTTCCTCTACTCACTATTGCACGCTCCTTTTGCAGCACTCTTTGCCTTTGGTAATGGTCATGTGAACGATAAGAGCTGTACCTGACAAGAGAAGGTGTCGTCAGCCCCCTAAACACAAGACAATTCAAGACTCAGAACTCTTAGGCACCTGCATCCCAGGTGCACAGCGCTCCCTGAACACATGCTCACCGCCGCCTCCTGTCACTTCTCCGGCGGGGGGATGGAGAGCGTGAGCGGCTTCGGGAACTGGATGATGAGGATGAGGAAGACGAAGAGGAAGATGATGACGAAGAAGAGGAAGAGCATCTTCGAGAACGTCCAGAGGAACTACAGCTGGACCTGAAGGATGAGAGGGCATGCAGGAATGCTGGGAGTGGTTCAGGTATACTCTGTTTATCTCGCCCAGGCCCTAGTCCTGCCTTTCTGTTAGGAAGTTCAGGACCAAAGACAGAGCAGAGTAGAAGAGGTCTAGAAGAAGTTTTCCTTCACAGATGGAACAAACTGAGGCCCTTCATGGAACTTGAGATGTACCTGGAATGTTGTGTTTTGGAAGAGATATTTATTTTTAATTGTACAATTAAAAGCTGAGAAATACTTAATAAATCAGAAAGAAGAAGAATAAATGGAGACTCAGGGAGATAAAGGGCTGGGCTCTAGGTCTCACAGCCAGCTCTCTGTAGTGCTGGGGCCAAGTCTGGGTCTTTGGGTTACTACTGCTCCCCTACCACATCTCATAGGAATACCATGACCATGGCAAAGAGGGAGTGCTAACTGCTGGACTTGCAGTAAAGGCCATTTCTGAAGATACGTATCTTCTCCAAAACCCAAGAATTCTTCATTAAGTGTGGAAACTTCGGACTGTTACTGAGAAAAAAAAAAGATACTGCCAGGAAATACATGAGGCTATAGTGACACCCAAAGGAATTGCCCAGACACCTTCCTCAGCAGATGATTAAGGGAAAAACCGTTTTCTATTACTAAGTAACCCACTGTCTCACATAGCACCCAGAATACCAAAAATGAGGGCTGATACAGTTGAGAAAAAAATCAGCATGGTCAAAATCAAACCCTAAAAGTCTTCCCAAGGCAGGTCTCAAGGAAGCAGGAGACCTCACTGACACCCCCAAACTACAACGGGGGACAAAAGCAATCGTCTCACAGCTTGTCTCCTTCAACAATTCAGGAAAAGGGAAAACACAAAAGCCAAAGACAGAAATAGAAGACTTGGTGCCTGAAAGTACCAAAGTCCATGTGTAAAAGCTTTCAAAGTAAACCACAGAGGGAAGTACATGAGCTTCCTAAGTGGAGAGGACCTACACGACCATCAAAGCTCACCTTCGCCACCTCTTGTGTGGGGGGGAGAGGGACCTGGACCGAGATCGGGATGAGGAAGACGACGATGAGGATGAGGAGGAAGATGCTTCGCTGGTCCGGTTGGACCCAGAGCTGACAGAACGGTTGTTGCGGCCTCGGCGGCCCTGCCAGCCCCGGCTTGAGGGGCTGACTGACCTGCAGGCTTTTCGGTAACAGCGCATTGACCGCTGCTTGGCTGAGGTGGGCTCAAGGGGAGTCCTAGTGTTCAGGTCATTCCGGCAGGGTGAAGCCTCAGGGGATAGCAAGCTGGATGGGGCAAGGCAGGGTGCTGAGGGATCTGCCTGCTCATTGCTAGTCCTGTGATCAAGTGGCTCCCGGGAGGCAGCTATGCATGGGGGCGGAAGGGCAGCTGGGCCCAAGGACAAGACAGGTTTGATGGTGATGTCCTGATGGCGCTTGACATTCCATCGGGAGCCCACCTCTGGAATGACTAGGGCAGGCATCTTTTTGGGGGGAGTCCTGCTCCGGACACAATAGTCATGGTCCCCAGAGCCCACATGGACTCGACTAGGGCCATGGACCCCTTCTTGGAGGCGAACTGCAGCTGGATGTTTGGCCTCCGTAACTCCTTCAGGCTTCAGGGTTCCCTCCTGGGCGGTGGACTTAGGAGATTTGGCTTTGGCCAGCAGTGAGACAGCAGCCAGGGGCTTCCATAACTGGTGGGGAGGGGTAGCTGGAGGGGTGAGCCCTGTGGTGAGGAGGGAGGATGGAGATAGCAGGATGAGATCCGATTCTACTCTTCCAAACACTGTGTATATAGCCTCCAGAGACCCCCACCTCATCTCACAAAGTACACCAAGCAAGGTAGGCCGCCCAACTTCTCCCACTGCTTCAACTGCTTCTTCCCCATGTTCCCCAACTTGGGGACCAGCAAGAGAAATTCAGCCAGCTATGGTCTTCCTGGACCCCTCATCCTCTCACTACCCAAACCTAAATGGCAACCAGGTCCTAGAGTCTAGCTCTCTTTTCTCAGATCTGCCCCCTCCACCAAGCACTGCCTGACTTCTAGGCTACATCTTGCTTGGACTCATGCACTCATCTTCTGATGGTCTCCCCACTTCCAGCTTCATAGTCATCCACCCATCTTCTACATTTCTGCTAGCTGGAGCACCCCAAAAACCAATCTGTTAAAGTTTCTTCAATTTACAGGATAAAGTCCAAAGAGCTTAATATGGCATTCAAGGTTTCTATAATCTGACCTATTTACCACTCAGATTTTCTCTCTTGCTTTACCTCTGCCCACCGCCCTGATCAACCACTACAGTCCAGCCAAACCAAGCCACTCACAATACCCCAAAACATACCCGGCTGATTTTGTTTCTTCAATTCAAGCTGCTCCGTCTTCCTAGAATATGCCCTGTCCCCTAAATCTACCACCTGATTGATAGATTTTCTCAAGCCTCACCTTAGGGGATTAGCTTCTATATAACCCTTCCCTGATTGTCCGTCTTCACATCTCACTGTTATCCATAGGATTTTTTTTTTTTTTTTTTTTTGAGATGGAGTCTTGCTCTGTCACCCAGGCTGGAGTGCAGTGGCACAATCTTGGCTCACTGCAACCTAAACATCCCAGATATAAGCAATTCTCCTGTCTCAGCTTCCTGAGTAGCTGAGATTACAGGCGGGTACCACCATGCCCAGCTGATTTTTGTATTTTTTAGTACAGAAAGTGTTTCACTATGTTGGCCAGGCTGGTCTCAAACTCTTGACCTCAAGTGATCTGCCTGCCTCAGCCTCCCAAAGTGCTGGGACTACAGGTGTGAGCCACCACGCCCAGCCCATAGGCTATAACATAGCACCTGATACTCAACATGCTCATTTGTTTACACATCTGCCCCCTAGACTGTGAGTACCTCAAGGCTGGAAATCAGATCTCTATATCCTCAATGCCTACACACAATTGATTTGGAGTAGGTTCAGCAAATGTTGCTGCATAAACTAACCACAGGCAGAATTCCCCACCCTGAACCCACCTGCCACGTTGGCCAGTTCTGGGGCTTGTAACCGGTCTAGGGGCCTCTTCTCCTGGGGAATGTCAACGCTGCTGGCAGGGGGGAAAAGGGAAAGCCTGATTCATTGCCTCCTCTGTATCTTGTACATATGCCTTTCTCACAAAGCAATGGGAGGGGTGGGTGCAGAGAAGAATGGGATGCACAAACTGCCCCCATCATCTTCTTCCTGCACAAAAGGGGCTTACTGACTGAACTAAAAAGTAGGTCTCAACTCAGCCCTGCCCAATTCCAAGAGGCAGGCCGGCCATGACCTTGAATACCCCCCACCTCCTTCAAATCAGGAACCTCACCTGCCCAGCTCAAACCAACCTGAAATCAATGTGGAAGGGAACATGCTTGGCAGAACAAGATGGAGAACCATGAACATGAAAAATGAGTCCTAGTCTTTAACATCTTCCTCCACTTTAAGTTACACCATTACCAGCACTAAGCAAACTTAAAGTGTATTAAATGAAGGAAAGAGATCCCCAAAGGCATGACTTGCCAGGAGATAAAAGGACCTCCAGGACATTTGGAACCCCTGACTAGAATCAGCTGGAGGGCAGTGCACATGCCCCCTCCTCACCTTACCACCCAAGACACTGCCCAGCAGCAATGGGCAGAGTAAGGGGTGAGGAAACAGGGAAAGACTCTAGAGCTGACTACAGCACCCCTGCAACAGAGGCATCCAGTTGACGGTCCTGGAGTGTCAGCCGGCTGCTGACCAACAGCTGTAGGGTAACTCGCTCATGTCTCCATACTTACCTTGAGTTTCCTACAGCCAAGCTGTCAGCAGAAGCCGGGGGAGGACACTCCTTTTTGGCTGCAAAGAAACCATACCAGTTAAAAGCCCAACCAGATGTTCTAGACTGAGGTGGCACAGAAGGGCTTACTTTGAGACCCAAAGGAGGAAAATCCACTTTGCCCACATATTCTCTGTTGGGAATCTCCCCAGAGAGATCAAGTCTCCTCCAGTGGGTGCCCAAGTACTATTTTTAATCTTCTCTTTTCTGCTCAGAAACACCCACATTCCTCCACTGAATCTGAGATAAAGTCCAAATGTATAAGCCTAGTGTTCAAGGTGATCTATGATCTGCCTAACTAGCTTCCTAGCCTCACAGCCTACTCATTCTACAAATCACATTTTCTGTTTTGCCTTGTACTATAGATATCTGTTACCAACTCAGGAGTCATTTCTGTAGATTATTCTCCCCATTTAGACCATAAGCTCCTTGAGGATACAGCGTCCTCCATAGCCCCTACATCCATGCCTTATACTGAGAAAGCCAAAGACTGGATCTCTATTCGTTGCCTTCCAAACGTACCATATGCCATTCTTCCTATATCTGCCCTCTGCCTTTTGTTGCCACACATATTCTATGAATTCCTACCTGTCTTTCAATGCACAGCCTAAAAGCTACTTCCCTCTAGAAAAATGTCCCTAAGCAACCCCACCCTGCTTGGATTCCCAGTCTACTCTTGTAATACCTTCTTGCTTTATCACTGCTGTCCCTGGCTTGGATTGCCATCACAGGTCAATCTTGTCTCCCTCTTCCAATTAGGGGACTGTTCTAGTGGCTAAGGCTATCCCCCCTCACCCTAGCTGAAGCAACTATAGGACTAGGCCCAAAAGAAGTATCAACAACAAAAAAAAGTTGGAGCGAAACTACCCATGTTCCCTCACCTTCTGATTTCTCAAACTGCTCCAGCAGACTGGATAGGTCCGATGCCTCAATTCCTGTGGAGGCACACAATACAGGATTGAAAGGGAACTCCTATCAACTAAGTACACAGGTCCCAGGAAGTCCCCAAATCACCTCACTTCTCCCTTTCCACTCCCCCTGCCCTCTGTACTAAGTGAACCAGAGTAGCTGCACAAAGTATCAAGGATTCAAACCAACCCAGAACTCCGCCTCTGAAGAACCCTCCACAACCAGGCACAGTGGCACACAGCTGTGCCTATAAATCCCAGCTACTTGGAAGGCTGAGGTGGGAGGACCACTTGAGCCCAGGAGTTCAATTCCAGCCTGGGTAACACAGTAAGACCCCAAAACAAAAACTAACTCCTCCAAAAAACTCCAACAAAGTCCAGTCTCATCAGGGTGGCTTATCCTATTCCACAGATAAGACTCCCCAGCCAACTGGGGGATTATGTGGGGGAACTGTGGGGCACTCACCAATCTCACTGATGAAAGCCTGTACCACATCTTCAGAACCCTGACTACGAGAGGTAGGCAGGAAGGACAGCTTCCTTAGACGGGCTGGGTGGACAGCAGGCAACTTGGGGACAGTGCTCTGCCTTGGTATGGGAACAGCCTTGGTAGCAGGCAAAGGGGGCTTCTCCCTGGGCCTGGTCTCCTGGGTCTCAGGCTTTAGCCTCTCTGATGCAGGCTCCTCAACAGTCACACCTTCAGCAGACACACATAGTGGAGCCTTCATCTGGGGGCTTTGCACCAGGGCAGACACCTTGTGTTTCAGATTGGGAGATGCAGGCACTGGCTTGACCTCCACCTTGGTAGGCTCTATCTGTGGAGCTCCACGCTCAGGTGGCCCAAGACTGAGGGAAGGAGCCATCGACACGGGAAGTACATTTTCAGGAGGACCAGGGGGAGTGCCCCTGGATGTCATCTTAGGTTGGGGAACAGCTCTTCCAACAGAGGCTGGAGGCAAAGGAGGTGGGGGAATAGCAGACCAGAATGGAGCATGTTGAGGCCCTGGGCCCCATCCCAAGGGCCCATAGGTACAGGTGGAACTATAAGGTGAGACTGGGGCAGGAGGGGGTGCCCAAGGCACATTGCAAGTGGAAGGTACAGCATAGGCGCCAGGAGTACCAGACACTAGGGGCACTGTTGGTGGGGGGGGCAGGCAAGGATAGCCAGAAGGGGACACAGGAGGATAACAAGGCCAGGGTGGGACAGGGGCATAGTGAGTAAACGAATCAGGTAGCACTGGCCCCATAGACACTGGAAGACTAGGAGGCTGCAAGGGACGGGGGGGCAGACTGGGGGGCATGCCTAGCCCACCTGCAGGGAAAGGCAGAGCAGCAGGCACTGCAGGAGGCATGGGCACAACAGGGGACAAAGACTGCACAGGAGGCGAAGGTCTCGCCAACAGTGGCATCTCCTGGGATGGCACCTGCTCAGTGGGAGCTGAGGCCACAGGTTTGCTTACAGGTGGCTCAGGACTAGGAGAAGCAGGGCTGGGACCTACAGGTACAAGACAAGCCTCAGGGGGCACTTCAGGGCTTCTCTGCAGAGCTGTCTTCTTGGCTGGGGCTGGCGGGATGACAAGACAAGGGATGTCTGCCAGCCCTGTGGGAGTCTCTGGAAGACTAGGCCACTTCCCAGTTGGGGGCTGGGGACTTCTCTCTTCCGTTTCTGCTTGGCGTTGCTGCCTTCGTCGCCGGTATTCAGATAAGCTAAGAGGCCGAGGTCTGGCTTCATGGGTTGTAGCACTGGTACCACTTCCAATTTTCAGAGAATCCCCAACCTCTTTGACTTCAGGGATGATGGTCTTTGGTGGGTCCAAGGACTCTGACTCCAGAAGGAGCTGGGGGGCTGAAGGCCCCAGGGCTGATGACACTGCACCACGTCTGGGATCAGTTGGTCTGGACCTAACTAGTACTGGGTCAACTGGAGTCAGGTCATTAGGGGCAGGGTCAACTGGTGCTGGGTCAGATGGGACAGAATCAACTGGTGACAAGTTATCTGTGATGGGAACCACTTCAGGGTCAACTGCTGCTGAGTCGGCCACACCTGGGTTCATCAGCACTGGCTCAGCCGGGAGAGGCTCAACCAGTTCTGAGCTGGTTAAAGCAAGGTCACCCAACCCAGGGTCAACAGGCACAGGGCCAGACAGAACATGGCCAGCTGCAGTGGGACCAGCTTCAACAGAGTCAACTGGCATAGGGCTGGCTTGGGCAGAGTCAACCAATGAGAGATGGGTTGGTACAAGGTTGGCTTGGATAGTGTCAGCCAGCTTGGGATAGAGGTCTAGAGGACCTTCTTTAGCAGGGCTACATTGTCCAGCACTGCTCTCCAAGTTCTCAGGGCTAGGATTCTCCAAGGCAGCTGCCCAGGCCCGAGCCCAAGCCCAGGGCTTCCCCTTACCCTGGAGAGGCCCAGACTCTCTTTGAAGTTCCTCCTGAGGCTGTTTCTGCAAGTTGTCTGCCTGAGAGGTCACTTCCGTACCTACAGTAGACTGCCCTCGAGAAGATGACCTCAGCCTCCTGGCATAGCCTTCCACATAGGCTGCTGGCTGCTCCTTGCTCTTCTTCTTCCTGCCCTTTCGAGCTCTCCGGGAACCTGGTGCAGCATTGGCAGGTGGGTTCTGAGGCTTCTTGGGCACTACTGGCTCCACGACCTCCCTGGGCTTCAATAAGCAGGCTGAGTCCAGTTTCTTCTCTGAGTTCAAAGACAACCCCTCTTTCTCAGAGCAGAGGGCTACACTGGGAACAGCAGCGTCTGTCTCTGACTCCAGTGTAGGCATGAGCAGCTGCAAGGCAGAACTAGTCTCTAACGAGTCATCCAGGAGCACAGGCTGGGGTCCAAGAGGCACCTGTCGCACCACAACTGGGATCTCCAGATCGTCACCAGCTGTGGCTGCCTGCCCCACAATCTCCAGCACCACACAGCCCTCAGGCAGTGTCAAATCATCTGGTTGCTCCTGAAGCTCATCCTGAAGTGATGCCAGGTGGGTGAGGTTGGGCAGGCAGTATGGGTGCATGGCCCGCACCAGCTCACTCAGGGAGGAGATGCTCTCATCACCAGCTGCAGGCACTGCCATCTCTGCTGCTGTTGCTTTATCCTCCTCCTCAGGGCAGGCCAAATGCATGGGGAAGTCTGGGATACTGCTCACACAGTTGTCAAGCTCCCCAGCAAGAATCTGGCCACTGAAGCCGGCCACCTCTTCCTCTTCTTCTCCATCACTGCGCTGCTGGGGAGGTGGCGATTGACCCCAGCGTGGTCTTGATCTTGGGGGTCTCCAGCTAGGAAGCTTAGGAGAAGAGGTCTCTAAGAAAGAGGGTGGGGAGAAGTCCCAAGGAGGATCTGGAAGAGACATTTCAACCTGCAGAAGAGAAGAGAAGTCTCAGGAGGAGTTTCATCTGGGAAAGTATTTTCCAGACCTGTCCCTATACACTCCTCCCACCTGGGAGTTTCTGAGGCCCCCTAGGTCAGGCTTACCCCACTCCCTCTACTGCTGCCTGTGCTGGGCCCCAATGGGTCAACTGGGGTGAGGAGGTCACGTTCTGGGGGTGTCCGAGAGAGAGTAAGCAGCTTGTGCAGCTAAAAGGGAGAGAAAAACCTGATATAAGCCTCTGCTTCAGAGCTATATGAGTAGGTCCACAGGCATGGGTCTAAACTTTGTACCAATCCCCTTCCCCTGGTCCCAGACTCACAGAGGAGCCCTCCCGAGGTGACACAAGCAGCTCCGAGTCAGGAATGCTGTCAAATGGAGAAAGGTTCTCAGAATCTGCATTGTCCAAAATCTCCGTCAGAGCTGTGAGCAGCGACACTTCATTCTGGTCCTCCAGAGATAACCTGCTCTGCTCCAGAAAAACAACCAGAAGGTCCTACCAACATCCCTAATGACCTACTATGCCACTAAAAAGGACTGGATATCAAGAGAGTCAGTCTCCCAGGTTCAACTCAGCTAACAGGGGAGTGAGAGGGATCTGAATACCAGAAGACATGGATTCCAATCTCATTTACCATCCACCCAGCTCTCTGGTATCAACAGAGACCTGTCGAACTTGACTCAAACTTGGGTTTCACACTCCCCTACCCTCAAATAAGATGTGGGATCCTCAGCAGACAACCATTGGCTAGGCTAGAAATAGGCTCAAAACCAGAGATCAGAGCCTTCTGGGCATGTAGATCAGGGGCCCAGACAGTGGGAAAGTCCTTGGACTATAGTCCAAGTTATGCAAGGAATTCTTACATGGGACATAATCTGGCAGCCTGCAGCCTCATTCCCACTTACAGACAAAAAACACACTTTAAGGTTCAGGTTGGGCACCCAGGAAACAGCTAAGGTCCTAGGAGAGCAGAGCCATGCCAAGAATCTGAGCTAGAACCTCCCACATAAAGCTCCTACTTGAAGACTTCCAAGCCCAGCCCCAGCTCACCTCTCCAAGGCTCCCAAAATCCTCGATGAGGGAGATGAGGGAGGCATCCATATAGCTCTGCATGGTCCCCAGCAGTGTCTCATCCTGCAACATTAGCTCCTCCATTTCCAGATCCTTGTCCCTCAGCGATGGGCCCAGCCGAGAGAGACTGACAAAGCCAGAATCACCCCCCTCCTCATGCAGCAGCACCTGGAGCAGAAGAAAAGGTGAGAAGAGTATGAGCCCTCCGGCAGCAGTTGATTGACTTGCTCCATAAACCAGGTACCCTCCACTGCTGAGCCCAAACTCAGCAGCAGCCCCACCATCGCCAAACTTCTGGACTAGCATGGCAGAGAGAAGCACAACCTATGAGCAAAAGCCCCCACCAGGATGGCAGTTTTCAAGGACCTTCTGAGAAGAAAAGCGTTTGGGCTCCAACCAGAAACAGCTAGAGTCACAGGAGATTAAAACCCAGGAGTAGGCCAGGAGGAGTGGCTCACACCTGTAATCCCAGCACTTTGGGAGGCTGAGGTGGGCGGATTACCTGAAGTCAAGAGTTCAAGACCAGCCTGGCCAACATGATGAAACCCCGTCTCTATTAAAAATACAAAAATTAGCCAGATGTGATAACACCTATCTGTAATCCCAGCTACTCAGGAGGCTGAGGCAGGAGAATCATTTGAACCCAGGAGGTGGAGCCTGCAGCGAGCCGAGATCATACCACTGCACTCCAGCCTGAGCAAGACTCTCTTAAAAAAATAAAAATAGTAAAAACATCAAAATCAAGATTGTCCAGAATCATCTACTGGCAGCAGTCAAGGTGACAGTCTGAGGGGCACACCAAAGGAAAAGAGGTCAGCAAGGAGACAGTTCAACTGCAACAACCTCACCTACCTCAAATCCTATTTAGGTCTCTGCTCTCTGCTTAGTGCAAATCCTACGTTCTTCAGGAAGACACCCCAGGCTTCCCCAGCCCACGATGATCTCTCCTCACAACTCTAAAATCATAGATTTTTCTACAGCATTAATTTTTCTAGCAATCACATCCCACCCCCCTACCCCCAGCCCCCAATGCTCCTTGCACCTTGCTTATTATTTTTTGAGACAGAGACCAGAGTGCAGAGGCGTGATTCTTGGCTCACTGCAGCCCCTGCCTCCCCGGTCCAAGAGATTCTCCTGCCTCAGCCTCCCAAGTAACTGGGATTACAGGTGCCCGCCACCATACCCAGCTAATGTTTTTTATTTTTATTAGAGATGGGGGTTTCACTATGTTGGCCAAATTTGTCTCAGACTCCTGACCTCATGTTACCCACCTACCTTGACCTCCCAAAGTACTGGAAATACAGGTGTGAGCCACTGCACCCAGCCTGTTTGCATCTCTTATAATACTATAGTCCAAGTTTATATGGGGCAAATAATCCTTTGTATTCTATTAGCTTATATTTTTCTTGGTCCTTATGAGGGTTTAAACATGTTTATACTTCTCAGTTACCAATGTCACCCAGAACATTGTCTTATACACAGGTGATATTCATGCTCACTTACATACTTTTTTTTTTTTTTTTTTTTTTTTTTTAGACAGAATCTTGCTCTATCCCCCAGACTGGAATGCAGTGGCGCAATCTTGGCTCACTAGAAGCTCTGCCTCCCAGGTTCAAGCAATTCTCATGCCTCAGCCTCCCAAGTAGCTGGGACTACAGGCGTCCACCACCACACTGGGCTAATATTTGTATTTTTAGTAGAGATGGGGTTTTGCCATGTTGGCCAGGCTGGTCTTGAAATCCTGACCTCACGTAATCCACCTGCCTCAGCCTCCCAAAGTGCTAGGATTACAGGTGTGAGCCACCACACCTGGCTTTTTTTTTCCTCCTGAGATGGAGTCTCCCTCTGTCACCCAAGCTGGATTGCAGTGGCCCTATCTCGGCTCATTGCAGTCTCTGTCTCCTGGGTTCCAGAGATTCTCCTGCCTCAGCCTCAGAGTAGCTGGGATTATAGGCACCCACCACCATGCCTGGCTAATTTTTGTATTTTTAGTAAAGACAGTGTTTTACCATATTTGCCAGGCTGGTCTCAAACTCCTAACCTCAAGTGATCCACCTGTCTCGGCCTCCCAAAGTGCTGGGGTTACAGGCATGAGCCACCACACCCAGCTGAGATTTTATTTTGAAGGACAATGAGACACTCAACCTCTCAATGGTAATTCCAAGGGAAGGGCCTCTTCTCCACTCCTACCAAGTGAGAGGAAATGAAGAGAAAGCTTGATTCCATAGATGGAAGGGTCCCTCCCCACACTCCTATAAGAGCTAGCAGCATTTATGGCCTCTTCTGTCAGGCATCAAGCAGCCCGCCCAGACCAGTCAAGAGTGTGGGTGTGGGCGTGGGCAGGACCAGAAGGTACTAAAATGGTACTGGTAAGGCCAGAGCCACGGGGATCTCTGAGACAGCAGTACCCCTTTATCCTCAAGGGATATGTTCCAAGACCCCCCCAGTAGATGCCTGAAACCACAAATACTACCAATACACTGGTATGTATTGCTATATACAATACATACCCACAATGAAGTTTAACTTATAACTTAGGCACAATTAAGAAATTAACAGTAATAGACCAATTAATATACTGTAATAAAAGCTATACAAATGTGATCTCTCTCTGACTCTCAAAATATCTCACTGTACTGTAGTCATGTATTTTTAGACCCCTGTTGATGGCAGGTAACAAAAACTGTGAATAAGGGGAAACTATCGCATAGGAAACATGAAGTAAAAAGGCCTGAGAACAGGATCACATACAGACGAGCCAGAACTTCCCTTTCCCCTTCTGCAACAATGGGAAATTCTGCACCGCTTCCAAAAGAAAAAAGCAACAAGTGTTTCCCCCACCCCACCACAATCCTGCCAACATATACCCTTCTAACAGGGCTGAGTACCAATGCCCAGGAAAAGGAAAGGTTGGTTAAGGACAGGTTAAGAGGCCAGGCCCAGAGAATAAGCGCAAGGTGGTAGGTTTTAGGCACTAACTCCTCCCAGGGCTTCACAATCCTATAATTACAAACCAGCAGCTGAATAGCACCTGGCTCAGCAAACACTCCAGGGTGAGCAAAGAGGCTGCAACTCCACTTGCCCTGCCACCTACCTACCAGAGCCCCAGCGACTAGGCTGGAATCTCAAGACAATCTGTGAACCATTTATCTCCACCTCCATCAGGTGTCCAGTCAGAGAGACACCTCCACACCTGACTTCACCCATCACTCAATTCCCAAATAGCACAGCTCCCGGAGTACCAAGATCATCCAAGTGCCAAGCACAGGCTGAAAGTGAGCCAGCCACCAACACCTCTAACTTCAACAACCTCCCAACTGGCTTTCCACCACCAAACCTTCTCCCTCCAGGGTTCAAAAACAGCCAGAAACTTTTAACATGCCTATCTAACAACTTCCTGAGACCCTCCCCAAATTCCTCCAATGGCACTGTACTGATGCTAGCATTAGGTTTAAACTCTTTAATAAAGCTTACAAAGGTTCTGGTCTTCCCCACCAGACTTCTGCTCCAGCATGATCTCTCCCACTACTCCGTAGTACAGGTCTCAATTTCTCCAGTAAGCCATATTCTCTTCCTCCTTGAGGCCTTCACTATTCCCTGATTAAAGGTTTTCCACAGTCTTAACATCTCAGCTTTAAATGTCCCTTTCCAGACTCCGCAAAGTAGATCACTACTGCCAATTACATGATCCCAAATATCCTGCACTTTTGTCTCATTCATCATTATTATTATCGGTCTATTCTGATTAAAACACAGATCCTGAGGGGTAAAGACTGTGTTTGTGTGGTTTACCAGTGTATTCCCTGTGCCTAAACATAATGGTATTTCAATAAATAACTGGTTGACTGACCAGCTCGCATATACCCATCTTTGGTTTTGGGGTGAAGGGAGTGACAATCTCTCCATGAGATCTTCTCCAATCCCAAATTACCACTTAACTCTTCTTATAGCTGGATCTTGGATCCTTCCTGCCTTCCCTGTGATACTTGGGAATTGAGTGATGGGTGAGGTCAGATGTGAGGGTGTGTCTCTGACTGGACACCTGATGGAGGTGGAGATAAATGGTTCATAGACAGGTGGGCATTGTCTTGAGATTCCAGCCTAGTCGCTGGGTAGGTAGGTAGCACCAGCCCTAAAGATGTGACCTCTGAGAAAGTATGGGAGAAGGGATCAAAGCTCCCAAATTCTTGCCCCAGAAACCATTCTCCCCTGGGCAAGGGCCTGGATTGGTCTGCAGGACCTGACACTACCAGGTAGCCTGCAGCCCAACTCCCAACTAGTAACACACAAAAAAAATGCTGTCAAGCACTCAGCTTAATTGTTTAAGAGAGATAACAGGCCGGGCCGGGTGTCTCAAGCCTGTAATCCCAGCATTTTGG